TCAATACAGTCAGATCCAGTGCGTAGAGCCAGATGGGTGTGCCAGACTGCCCCTGCAGATGACCCCACCGGGTGACTCTGGCACAGGTCCATGGACTGATCTCACCCATGGGTTTCATTTAGTCCACAAACTAGCCCCATTACCATTCACCTAGGCAGCCGGCAGGGCCAGAAGGCTGCACACCCCGGTCTAAACTGAGTGAAAAGCAGCACACATCATCCCAAAGGAAAAGTAATCGAGAGGTTAAAACAGTATCATACAAAGTTTGTTTGTTTTTTTAATGAAGTTCACTGTCTAATAAAAATTATATTTTATTATAGAAGGAAGAGTAATTCCTACACAGAGCTTGCTTCTGCCATGCTATAAGGAAAGACAAGGAAACCTAATCAAGCTACATCTCCAATTGACTGAAGAACTGCAAATGCAAGGCTATCCCCAGATGGCAGGTCCAATACTGTAACTACCTAGGAAATAAGTCAGATTTCTTTTTTGTGAGTGTGGTAGATTCTAGTAAGCTGGCTATATGGATACCTGGTCGGACCCAATGGAGCACCACAAGCACTGTCTTCAGTATCCTAGTCTGCCACCTGATATAATCACAAGCAAGAGTATTTGGTGGTTCTCATGCTGTGAGTACCCATGACATCCTTTCCTGCTGTACATTACACTGCATTGTTCTCTAGTATTCTACAGGCAGAAGAGGAGCAGATCCTGCAATTAGGGCTCTCCCTCCTTTTCAGACTGTAATTGCAGTTTACACACTAGTGGAAAATATTTTAAAAAGACAAACTGGTTCACTGTCATTCTTAATCAGCATTCAAGCACGTCCCCCTCTTGGAAGATCCAGGACAAGACGTATGTCCAGATCTGCTAACTGCTCAAACTCCCCACCCTTCCCCCAATACGGTCTCGCACAAAGAACACGCAGGCTTCCCACTCGCTGGGACAGACAAGTGCCATCTGCAGGACTCTTCACCAGTGTTTCCTGCACACTGCAAAACAGATTTCCCCAATGCTGGAGAGGAAAAGGAAAAGCAATAGCAAAGCTTTACCTGTTCTAGATTACCCAGTCCCTAAAAAACAATCCAAATCAAGTCCCCTCACCTGCTGTGTTCAGCTTTTGAGACCTGCAGTCCCAGAAGTAGGAAAGCTGCACTCTTGGTGGTCATTCTTTTTTCACTGGATCAAAAAGTTTAAAAGATACAGGGCCAAATTCATCCAGTGTGTAACTGCACTCACTTCAGTGGAGCTTGAATTTGGCTTACACCACTCAACACACTTCCCCTCCCCTGTATATGACCCAAGACTAAGACGTTGACACTACCATTGATCTGCAAAGGAGAAAGCAACTAGGCTTGGAGCTGTGTTGTTTCTTGACAAAACAGTCTGTAGGCAGGAAAAGTTATTAAGAGGAAAGAAGTATTTCCCTTTTCTGTCTGTTTTTCCTTCCATAAAATATTCAGACCTTGCCTCTTCCTGCAAGACTCTATAGACAAACTGAGAGCTGGCTGCCAGTAACACAAGAGTGAAACCGGAGCTGCTCAGAGAGAAAGAGATTTTTATTCAAACTACTTAAAACTCCTGCTTTGTTGCTGCTTGTGTGCAACATGCTTCACATCTAACCAGAAAGGACTAGTTAAACCAAAGCATGAAAAAGCCTCAAGACCTCTAAGAAGTCTTCCAGAACAAGCAGAGAAGAGACTCAAAACATGAGGCATCCTAAGGTAAAAAACAAATAATAAAACAAAACTAACCGGGGGGGGGGTGGCTTCTCTACACATGGTAAAGCGGTGTACAGAGAACTGGAGCCCACCTTCCCAGACCGCCTTTGCAGTTCATCTTAAATCCTCCCACTGACCGGGGGGGGGGG